TTGGCAGGACGCTTCAACACTTGTCCGAACGTATCAAACAACACGTCCCATTGTCCTTGTTGTCAAAAGCGGCCAGGGCAGGCAGGCCAAAGCGTGGAAGGCCGAGAAAACACCCGTTGCCTACTACTACGCCTGTCAGGATTACAACACAACCGGAAACGGATACAACACCGGACTCAACAGTAGCGCAACACACGAATCTGGTGTCACTCTTGACGACAACAACACGGCATGGGAGACCACCGGACGATCGTTCGTTAACAAACCTGACGGCGGTAACGGAAAGATCACCAGGAGAACGAAATGAAAATGGAGGAAAAACGAATCTGAGGAGAAGCCAGAGACTAGCGGAGACACGACTGAGAAAAATGGAGAAGGCGGAACCAGTAGTGGCAGATGAAAGTACGGGCGCAGCAGTGAACACGTCAAGGAGAAAGAAGCGATGGCATGAGGAGATGGAGATGGAGGATGATGATGGGGATGAACAGGATGGTCAGGAGGAAAGCAAGGGTGAGCGGGAGCAGGAAGTGGAGGATGAGAGTGATACGGACGAGGAGGAGTTCGACATCGACAAGAGCAAGTCTGCCATCTACAGGCATTTGGTGTCCAGTCCGGATTGTCGTAAGTTGTTTGACGATTCCTGGTTTAGTGTTATTTGTCGCGCGCGTTTCTTTAAGCAGTTGCAGGTGTTGGAAGCTGTATATATTCGCACACGTGACCCTGTTCTATGCAAGCAAAAAGAAAATGTTGTAGCACTCACACTTTTTAAATAATACACACTCACCAGTTTTTGTTCACACGCACTCACAGCTGCCACATTCATCTACTGCTACCATTCTCAGATACACTGCAAAGGTTCACACTACACGCGTTATGCATAACCGCTAGCTGTGCTGCATTCTCACGCTTCTTTTCATGTTACTCTAGCTATATAACTGGTTGTTTTAGTGATTCTTGCTATGTGACGATGTTCCACTGATGATGGTCACACGAAAACGTTCTGGAATTGTTTCATTTTAATTGTTTATACATGATTATGAGTGCACAATTGATATTTTTCATTGCTATTATTATTATTATTATTATTATTATTATTATTATTATTATTATTATTATTATTATTGATAATCCTAGCACTAAGGTAATAACAGGAAAAACTGCGAAAGCAATTAACGAACTTGTAAGGACTACTAGTATACTGTGACACAAGATATGACACCATGGCCAACCAGAGCCAAACCGACAGGACAAGGCTCTGGTTGGCCATGGTGTCATATCTTGTGTCACAGTATACTAGTAGTCCTTACAAGTTCGTTAATTGCTTTCGCAGTTTTTCCTGTTATTACCTTAGTGCTAGGATTATCATTTTCATAGGTGTTGTTTCTTCTCACTCCATTATTATTATTATTATTATTATTATTATTATAATTATTATTATTATTATTAGACACAATCTCATAGCATGTGACAAGCATAGCTAATGCAGTGACAGAATCCCCTGAGACAAGGGCGTTGAGCCAGCCACGGCAATAGTAAGCTAGGAAAACAAAGCAAATATGAGTTAAAGCAGAAAATGAATGGAAAATTACAAAGAAAAACGATTAACGGAAGTGAGCACTATCAAAATTCGTGCATCACCCAGGTATTCGAGAATGTTCTTCGATGATAATTATTGCGTCTAGTTCAGTTGTGATAGTAGATCTTTAAACTGACAAATAGAAGAACAAGTTTTCAGACCGTATGGTAATGATAACCAATGAGAGTAGCCGGAAAACAAAGGGGACTTTAGATACTGGGCTGACTTAACAAGAGGCAGGGTGAGCGCGTTACGGGTTGAGCTTGTCGAAAACCAATTGTACTTCATCATGTGTGAAGGGGTTTTATGAAGAAATATCTTATGAACCAGTGTACAGAGATGGTGCTTATGACGAACGGAGAGAGGAGAAGTGTGTGCAAGTCGATAAAGGGCATCCGAAGGAAAACATCGATCCTTGTTGTAAAGAATTTTAAGTATAAATCTATGGTGGACTTCTAATTGGCTCAGAGTTGTGTCAGAAAGGCCACACCAAGCGGTATCGCAAAAGTCGAATATAGGGAGAATATAGCACTGATAAAATAATAGTTTACACTGGATGGGCAAATGAGTGCAATGTGGTTGTAGTACCCCTAAGGCTGAACTGGTTCGCTTGCATACACAGTTGACATGTGCAGCCCAAGAGAGTTTGCAGTCAAACATCACACCTAGATGTTTGTGCTGAGTAACAACACGGATAGGCATAGTCGAGTCAGGGAAGAATAATGGTTGATCAGGAGGGGATGAAGAAATATACATGGCTTCTGTCTTGTCTAAATTGGGCTGGAGTTTCCACGTTTGCATCCACATGACAGTGCTGTTGATGCGATGCTGCATGGCAAGGAGTAATTGTGCAGGGGAGGAATCAGAACAGATAAGGCCAGTGTCATCCGCATACAAACTAACATCGGGGACAACTGAAGGTAGGTCATTAACGTAAAGCAAGAATAACAAAGGACCCAGAATGGAACCTTGGGGCACTCCAGACGTTGCAGGGAGGGGATCAGACAAGAAATAGAACAAGCAAACAGCCTGAGAACGAGCAGACAGATACGAGGATATCCAACGCAAGGCAGCATCCTCCACCCGGAAGGTGACCTTCAACTTGGCAAGTAAGCCACGATGCCAAACGGTGTCGAATGCCTTAGCCAAGTCGAAAAACACCATTCCCACGTGCTTCCCACAGTTCCTCTTTGTCGCTATGTCTTGGACAAGTCGAGTCACCTGGTATTGAGTTGAGTCACCACGGCAGAATCCCGACTGAGCTTGTGAGAGAGCCGGAACGATGTGCAGGTAGAGGGAATCGAATACAATACGCTCACAAAGTTTGGAAACTGTGCGCAGCAGAGAGATGGGGCGGTAGTTTGCCGGGCAAGCACGGGAGCCTTTATTCTTGTAAAGCGGTGTCACGATGGCGGATTTCCAATCCTGTGGGAATGTACCAGTTCGAAATGACATATTAAAAATAATGGCGAGAGGATAGACTATTGATGGTGCAAGAGACTGCAGCACTTCATTCGGGATCCCATCTGAGCCGGGAGACTTTCCACATTTCAGGCGCTTCAGATATTTCCGAACTTGAAACGTAGTGACAGTGATTGTACGGAACGGAACAGATATGAAAGGCGACTGGGACAAAGGGGGAATGCGCCACGAAGGATCATCAGGTAGCCCAAATGAGGTGAACTGAGTGTTCAGAACATCAGCTATGCTCTTGGGGGACGTGGCGACCGTACCGTCGGATGCTATCATCGTTTGGGGCATGACACGGCCGGAAGTGTGCCGCTGTGCTCGCACAAACTGAAAGAGTGTAGGTCGATTCGGTGACGTTAGTGATGCTTGGATGGAGCGTATATATTGACGATGTGCTTGCCGAGACAGGTGCTTTACATCATTCCTTTGTCGGTTATAAGCTGCATGATTTACTGCTGTCGGATATTTTTTGTACACACTGTATAGATCACGCTTGCGTTTTACAGCAGACCTGAGCTCAGCAGTAACCCATGGTGGAGATTGCATGCGGGGTCGTGGAGATGTCACAGTATGGGTGGCTCCGAATGAAGTGAGGTGCCTACGGAAGGCGGACTGGAGCTCACAATCAAAGTGATGAAGTGCGTCATTAACATCAGTGTACGAGTTCAGAGAGGACCAGTTGTAGCCAGTGGAAGCAGGTGAATGTGACCCTCCTCACTCTATGACATTCACCTGCTTCCACGCCTTCATTTCACTCACCTTTTGTAGTAGCTCACACCGTCGGAACACTCTCACATCTTTTCTTCTAATTTCTTTCGTCTTCTCTCCCACTCTAGTTTTTTTCACACCTCACCTTGTATACTCCCCACTATCCTATAACCTATAAGTAGTTTGTTTCTCCGTATAGCCTCTATTGTGAGACGATTTTTCCCTGATGATAGTCTCAAGAAAATCGATTAGGAACAACCATTTTAGATACATGTATTCTCATTCATCATTTTGTAATGTCCGCTTCAGTTACACTATTGATCGCGTTTTCATTCTGATGTGATTAAATTATGATGTCATCACCCATTCGCATGTGCATGTGGCTACCCGAGTACCCACCCAGTACATTATTACTGTTGCGTGAGGGGGCGGCATCCTAGCCTGGCTACATGCACGTGTTGATAATAATCTTTATCTTCATTCTCCTGATGATGGGTCAGGCCCGACATTTTGATTTAGTACATGACTGTATACATAACACTGCTGCAATCGTTTTCACGATGAAACAGTTGACAGATGCGTGGAACCCATTATTGGGGAGACATGCGACCTGTATTATTATTACCACATGTAAAATAGAATCGCAATAAAGAAACCGTCTTAGAGTTAACTGACGCACATCGCATGGTTGTGCGAACAGACAAGTGACGCAAATGAGAACAGTGTTGTAGAAGGCCGCGCGCTGCACAACCCCAAATATGGATGCGGCAAGCGTTTGCAGTCCACAGTTACCCGTCATCATTATGCGACGGACTGCCAGCAAGAGTAGCATGCATATCAACAGCATGAACAAGAACATTTCACGAACTGTCATACATGCACAGTCAGTCATTGCATCCAAACAAAGGACCAAAAAAGTGTTTCTTGCGTAAACACGTTCATTCTTTTTTCGATTATTAATAATTGTTCGTGTGTCCACGTATGTAAGACGTGAACAAAGCTTAAAGAACACACCCTGTCAGAAAATCACTAGTACATGTACTTGTATTTGAAAAGACGGTACAAGCAAATGCGTAGAAACAACATTGATTTTAGGCTGCGACTATTTCAACGGTAAAAATCAGGTGATTCCCCAGGTACATTTATACGGACACGAAAGATGCTTGACCAGCGGACCTGTCATCCTTAAACTAGAGGCCACGTCAAACCCCCCGAGCAGAGGGGTAAAGGCGGAGCGGAGCGTTCATTACCTTGATTTTCACCATACAACGAAGCTAAACGTCTCTCTTCGAGGAAAGAAGTGTAACCTTGCCTGTTGTATATACAGTTATTTTGTGTTAGTTTGTTGGTGTTATGTGCTGACAAAGAGTATAGCATTACTAAACGCTGCTATTGTCTTCGGCGGGAAGATGAGCAATTCGGGGCTCTTTCATCGGGAGATAGGGTCTGCGGTGATGGCTAGGGATGGTGAGGAGGACACAGACTGTAGTGCAGCGTCTATACCGGTATGGGGTGAGCAACAACAGATGCAGAAGTACCAGCATAGCGCTGAAGAAGAAGGAGCCACGCCGTAAGTGTGTTGACGAAGAGATGCATTTGCCTGTTGCGCTGTCGATGTAGCGTTCTCAGGACGCTGGATCTGAATGCAGTGCAACACAGCAAAACATCTATTGGAGTATTGCCTTTGGTTCTCATAATGAATGCATGGCTGGCGATGAAACAAAACCACCAACATTGTGATTATCAACTTGGCGTCATTACACTTCGCAACGGTTTACTTGCTTGGAGTAAAGCATGACTTTCGTCGCTCTCCAACCAATCTGTTCGGCCCAAAGCGACCTCCATTGGCTAGACGTTGTTCTGCTAGATTTTCTAGCATTCAACCCGCATGCTTTCGTCGCCACAGCCACGGTCGAATAGTCGTGCCTTCCTCGTCCATCTACGTGTCCAGAATGCCAAGACTAAGGCAACTCTGCTTTGTGCGGCCACTACGCGTGGACGGTGGAGTGTACGTCGCGGTTATACACGTATTATGCATGTAGCGACCAAGGTGTTCACGTCTACGTCGCGGTTATACACGTATTATGCATGTAGCGACCAAGGTTTTCACGGCGATCAAAGACGTAAAGAGTAGTTAGAACAAGATTTTTCTTTTTTCCATTGATTTCAACACTCGACAACAGTCGATCAAAAAGCGGTTTCCTGTGATCAAACTGATTTGCTGAGAAGCACGAAAAGTATTACTGGTACTTCAAGGTATTATTGAAAACAAATAACCGTTTTTAGGAGTACGTACATGTGGTGTACCACGCTTTCCTGAGTAAAAATATTTCGCTTCCGTTGGTCGTTTTGTTGTCTTCTTCCAACGCTATAGAGACCATAGTCAAAAGCAGTACGTACGTCCTGACGAGGCGGTTGGTCACAGATGCCAGAAACGTCGTGGACAGTACCACCGGTATGGCTGGAGCACGATAAATGGCAGGAAGAAGCGCAAGAAGCAACAACAGGTGAGACAAAATTATTTCAAATAGTCATTTTTCTCATCGCGAGTTTCTGCAGGCTGAAATACCATTATTTTAGGCTCACCAGTTGCTCTATGCTCTTTATATTTGTACTGTTTGACCCTAATGATGAGCCATGCGGGAAAAGTTGGCGAGCCTGAATGAAGTGATATTTGCACGAGAAAAATCCTGTTTGCATGCTTGCATTGAAGATTATTTGAAGTAGTATTGAACTACCACCACCAGCACCACCAGTTACTAAACAATCAGTTCATGCGATAACATTTATTTATTTATTTCTGCACCTCGTGGCATGTCAAGACAGCCAAGCACGACACTGACCGTCTGTACTGACGTTCTACAACTAACTGGCTAGCAGTTCTAGCATATCTTGAATGCGCACTCCAACAGCCTTCCAACTAATTAGGGTTCACGGATTGGCATGCTAGCGTCGCCAGCTACATCATGCACGTGACAGGCGCGTGCATATACTGTCCCACACAATCGGTCAGTGCTCAAATCGCATTTTCCCATCAATATCACTCACTTTCAACTCTACGGGATTCATTACGGTTGGCTCAAACTGCCTGAATTTTTGAATCCACACGCACGAAAGACGTTCCAAGACTTCCACCGTTTGTATTTTTTCAAACGAGTTCCGGGTTTTCCAGTAACTTTGGCCAAAGTTCGGCTAAAAAAACAGGGGGAGCCGTTGCGTTTCCGTAAAATACTGAACGGTAGAAGGATAGCCAAGGTCGAGAGCAAAACAACAAGCCATTATTTGTCAAAATCGAACAAGAAACGGCTCAGCGCATCTATTTTCCGTGCACGCGCGCGCGTACTTTGCCCGACAAGGTGTGGAGAATTTCTGAAGAAGAAGAAAAACAAGAGCAGCAGCGCTCGGAACAGCCGTGCTGGATACTTCCAATCCCGACGATGGAGCGTGTTGGCTGTCGTGAGCTGCTGAAACGACCATGACATTTCTTTTTCTTTGTATACCCTACATATCTTGACGTGCCCTAGCTCAGTTTCGGCCTCTTTAAAGGAAGAATATTTTCTTCCATGGCATCAGCGGCCAAACAGCAAGAAGAGCAACAGATCGAGATTTGCAGGGCAAACAAAGGATGCGTGCAGCTACATCTAGTCAGGTTCGATGCAGCTGCGCTTTGCCAGAACCTCAGCAGATAAGAAAAGACGACAGAGTGTCTCAGATGAAACTGGATCTTTCGCCAAGACCGCCACCGCCGCCATCATCAAGTCCAGGTCAGTCAGAAAAATGCAAAGCCCGAGTGAAGTGAAGCCACTGAAGCCAAGGAAAAATTCGAAAAGTACGCTCTCCGGCTAGACTTCGAGTCGATATTTTTTTACTTCGATAGGCGCTGTCGCGGCCTGTACTGGCTGTAGCGCGCGTCCATAATCCAAAATGGAGGCGCACGTGACGGGTGCTTTTAGTGGCAAGCCGTGAACCCTAAACTTGGAAGATTCTTATTTTAAAAATAACGCGAGGAGGGGAAGATTGTTATCATTGATTTTTAAGTTTGCAATTTAATTTTGCGAATCCGTAGAAAACGCCTGGTACCCAATGATAATAATAATACCTAAAAGGTTTGTCATGGCGTATGGTGTATGGTGTATGACACTTGATCAACGAAAGGGTTGGGATATTATTATGAAATGGTTTATCTTCTTTTCTGACTCGGTTTCTTCCAGGCGAAGCGTGCCCACAGCGTGAGAGGATTCGTTGTTGGCCACCTCCTCCTTGCAATGCTGATTGGCACGACTTCTGCCAATCTGCAGCGCTTCACGTTCCCCCCGTCCCGTCGCGTGCTGCTGATGGAGGGGATGTATGACCGATATTCAGCAAAGGAATTTTCCTGTGCCGTGTGTCCCGCCGGCTTCCAGTACAAGAAAGCCTGCACGCGGTTCACTCAGCAATCATGTCAGCCGTGTCCATTGGGTTATGTCCAGCCCAATGTGACAATAAACGAAAAGTGCGTTCTGTGCCGCGAATCCTCCACAGCTTGCCCACAGGTAGGGAAATGTGGTGGCTGCATCGCCAATTTTTAGATCTGCATGCACCTGCACTCCCTGCAGTCAATAATATTGAACATTGTGCTTGTACGTGTGAGGGCATGCGCACACTTGTGTGTGTTTGTGTATGTATGTGTTTGTGCGTGTGTGCCAGCAAATCTGGTTGGTGGGTACAGATATGTCAGATAGTATTGGGTCTGTTGCCAACAGGCTCGGCTGCTTGAAGGTGTATTGTTGTATCTGCCACCTCTTTTGGTTTAACGGTTCATATACTTTCTATTTGAAGTATACAGATCTGTTGAGCATGGACTGCCTCTGGCTAGATTAACTCTTGTGTAATCACTGGGGGCTAGTGAAGATTAGTTCAGATCCACTCTGATTTAGCCACCCACACTAGTACCAAGACTAGTATTACCCTCACTGTGTGTGTATGTGCGTGTGTGTGTGTGTGTGTGTGTGTGTGTGTGTGTGTGTGTGTGCGTGCGTGCGTGCGTGTGTGTATGCAACTTTGTGTTAAAACATGTTATCCAGAAATGCAAGACATTTTGGGTTACCCACAAAAACTTCTGCTGTATCATCAATGATCTGAAAGCAGACCATAGACTGATCTTTAATAATCATCACTTGTTGCATTCCTCCTTTGATTGGTGCTTCTGTCTTTGTGCAATTCAGGGGTACATATACCGGAACTGCACAGCAACACGGCACGGTGGATGCGAGAAGTCGATATGCCAGGATGGATAGTAAGATTGTTTTAAACTCTAAATTCAATTTTGGTATTCAATCACCCAACCGGCAAGAATTTGGCAATGTTTGGAACTTATTAAATTTGCGATCCATACAACCGGTTACAATGAGCTCCGCTGAGGAGACTAAGTCTTGACATGGTTGAATAAGCCAGATGTTCAGAGATTTGGCAGTACCGTAATACCTGGTGGTGGGTCTGATCTACTCACCTCCCACCGTTTAGGCGCTGCATCTGCGCCTTTGATCCTAGAGGGTGGTGGCGTTCCCACGGCGGATGCGGAAAACTCGGCTTTCAGCCGAGTTTCACGCGAACCGTGAAATTTATTTAATTTATTTTAATACCTGTAACTAGAGATGACCGTGCCTAGTGTCCAGCCTGGTACTACAGACCACTTCGCCAGGGACGGACAGTCTCACATTCATATTACGGTTGTGCGGTGAAAATCTCTAACTAAGGACCACCGGCCACTAAAGACCGCTTTCTCTGGCACCAAGGTGTGGTCGTTAGTCATATGTTTTACTGTATTAGGCACCCTCACCCTACCTTGTTTGTGCACTCTTTACGCTCACTGTCTTGGTCACCTGCCATCATGCAAAGCTTACTGTCTTGGTTACCTGCCCTCGTGCAAAGCTCACTGGCATGGTTACCTGCCCACATGGAAAGCTTACTGTCATGGTTACCTGCCCACATGCAAAACTCACCGTCATGGTTACCTGCCCTCATGCAAAGCTCACTGTCATGGTTACCTACCCTCATGCAAAGCTCACTGTCATGGTTTCCTTCCCTCATGCAAAGCTCACTGTCTTGGTTACCTGCCCTCATGCAAAACTCACTGGCATGGTTACCTGCCCTCATGCAAAGCTCACAGTCATGGTTACCTGCCTTCATGCAAAGCTCACTGTCTTGGTTACCTGCCCTCATGCAAAGCTCACTGTCTTGGTTACCTGCCCGCATGCAAAGCTCACAGTCATGGTTACCTGCCTTCATGCAAAACTCGCTGTGTTTCTCGCAGTTAGTGTACTTACGAGTTTGATGTTTTGAGTCAGTTTTAAACATTGTTTTCTGTTCACTGGAATTCATTACGACTGGTCAACCAGAAACTCTGAGCTGTGTTGACGAGTTCTCACTGGGTCAAAATGAAATGAGGAACCGATTTATTATCGCCTCAAAGCGAACTACCTTTGTTTTGAATCGTTCTGTTGTTATAGTTACGGGTTGGATTTATCGCACACCATCCCTAATCACTGCCGACCGTGCAGTGTGGAGTGCTCAGTTGACGGCCGCTGGGAAATGGTCCCGTGTCTCTACACCGATCGCCAGTGTTCATACAGAAAGTTGCCGATTCTGGCCATGCCGGATATTGTCCCAACACCGAGTACGTATTATAATATGTCCTGCTTACTGCGCATTATTTCTTAGTCGGGTATGAAATCTTTATTTATAGGAGACAATACCTTCAATATTATGACTATTTCAGCTAAGTCTGTGCTGAGTAGATGTAAATGGTTTTGAATGAGCCCTGGCTCCAATCTTATGGCACGAACAGCCTAGTGACATGATAATCTTGCACGAAATGTGCAGCTCCAGGAGATTTTAGTGCTTGCTTATGCCACATCACGTAATGCTGAAACTAGTGGATCTGCTTCAGGCAATTGTAACATATATTGTGAACGACGGTTTTCCAATGCATGGATTAAAATTAAGCAGTGTGTGCGCCTGGGTGTCTAACTTTATATCATCTTCACTTTGGTGTCTTACTGCAGAGCTGACAGCAGAGGCAACAACACCAACCCAAGTCAGTTCAAATCATGCACATACTAAGATCGCCACAAGCAGTCAAGGGACGACTCGGCCTAGGGAAATTCCCACCAGGCCTAGGGCAAGCACAACTCCGATTAGGACAACTGCCACTAGGCCCACCACAACTGAACCAGGCAACAAAGCCAGAGACTGGTTCATTCATCGTCCGTCCTTTAACGACTCGAGCCGTGGTTCGGGGAACGGCACCGTGTACACCAAGGCCGAACGTGAATTGACGAAACGAAACGCGTTATTATATCAGTTGGTGATTGGGTCACTGTCTGTTGTGGCAATAGTACAAGGAACCTGCCTAGTAATTACTAGGTGTAATAAGAGAGGTGAGGATCTTGTTCTCTGTGTTTCATATTCTGCAGGCGTACACGTACGGAAATATACTTGTGAAATGTCTGAACTGGCGTATTTTTAAAGAAAAGATACAGTTGAATTGCGTCACTCCAACAAAATGGAAAGTTCTTGAACAAGCTCAATGCTGCATTTTGTGAGATTCCAATTTGATGGAAATAGGTGATTGCATCCCCATGAAACAGACACCACAACTTCCTTAGTTACTCATAGGTTAAATGTCGCTGTGTCTTTTTCTTGCGTTTCACTATGTTCTGCAGGAGGGAGGATTATAGAAAGTGCAGCCAGCAGCCGCACGAGCGTCAGATTCCACAGTCCACCTGTAGGAGCTGCAAGCGCTGGTGTCCAGAGCGTGTCCATAGGCATTGAACCGGAGGATCTATCTGTGAGAGACGCAGGTAGACTCATTTGCCAGCCAGTGAACCAGTCTTCGGGAGACTTCACTACGGTTCATTTCGCAGATGGAAGAGATCTACTCGGCAAAAACTGGAACACAGCTGATCCGGAAGGAGATACACTGGTGACCTGTCCATACGAATGCGGCCAGAACTTGCCACCTTCTAGCAAGTCGCTCGACCATAGGCAAGGAACAGCCACACATGAGTCAACTGAAGGCATAGGTTGCGCTTTGCTTCACGATGGCCAGACGACACATCCAAGTCCGCCACAAGCTCAAACGCCGACTGCACAATCACAGCAAGGTGATACCCATTCGACGGAGACAGGCGACGGTGACTGTCGAGAATCCGCTGTTTAAGTGTGATTAGTGATGGAGTTTGTTAGGCTGTGTGCGGGAGCTCAGTTTCCTTCCAGGAGTCGTGTGCGGAGGTGTTTTAACGGCAGATCATCTTTCCTGTCAGCCACGTGTAGATCATGGCACAAAGTGACCTCATGAAAAGCAACATCACCCACACTTCCCTGTCATGCATCATCGGCGTTTGGAAATCACGGTTTCCCGCACTACCGACTCCTCAACAGCGAGCCAGTGCCAAAACTCATCACCTTGTTCTTGTACCTCCACGTCAACCATTTCAGATTTGCTGACGCCTTTTTCGCCGCGAGGACATATCGATTTCAACGGACTACCCACAATATAGCAGTGTAATTGGAGATTTTTGATTCATTCACGCCTGTGATTTGGTCATCATACTGCTATGCACTCTTCTACCCCTGCATGTTTGAATTTCCATCTCTTTACATGTATGTAGTCTTTTAGCTGAGCACTTCTCTCCTCACTTTCCGTTTTTTGCCAGCAGTGAAGAGGAATATTAGCATGCCAGTGTACATGCATGTCTTTCATATCATTGGACTCTGCCCTAGATGTGTTTATGTTGTAGTTCAATCCTTCGCATTTCCCCTCTCAATCAATATGTACATGTACATGGTGCTTATCAAAATATGTTAGTTTTGCCGCATGAAATGGGTGACCCATCTATGCTTGCATACATGACTGTATAATATATAGCCTGAGGTGGAGCATGACGTTTACATGATGGAGATGGATGTGACTTGTGAATCCAAACCTACGCACACATTATGCAATGTACAGTAAAACCTCCAACTAACGACCACCGTGACTAGCGACCAGCCTGGTACTACAGACCACCGTGACTAGCGACCAGCCTGGTACTACAGACCACCGTGACTAGCGACCAGCCTGGTACTGCAGACCACCGTGACTAGCGACCAGCCTGGTACTACAGTCTACAGACCACTTTGCCAGGCATGGACTGTCTCACATTCATACCTGGTTGTGCGGTGCAAACCTCTAACCAAGGACCACCTGCCACTAAAGACCGCTTTCTCTGGCCCCAAGGGGTGGTCGTTAGTTACAGGTTTTACTGTATGTCATTTCAATTTCGTGCTACTTTACTCACACGGAAAACGTGTATACGGTTAGGGCAGTTACATGACCGTCGTGTTGGGAGACGTACGCCCTCTGCGACGTACGCCCTCTTCCCTGAATCAATTGTGAGGTCTGCATTTGACACTACCGGTAGTATCAGGTATGGCCCAAGTCGTCGCCGGCCGATACGATTGTCTTTGTTCGGTGTGCTCCTAAACACGTCTTGTCATTGAACATCTCGGGTCATTTCGACTTGCGAATTCAAATACACACAGCCAACCAACGTCAGGTGATGCGGTGGCGAATCCGGCTGACTTCAATTATTATTTACTACTGTAATTATTTACTCACTAGAATCAATGCTTAAAGGCTCCATTATGCAGCTCTCTACGCACCATTTTCTGGGGCGAGCTGTCGGTGAAAAGGAGGGCAGTGGCGATGAATGGTTCGCAATTGTGGTTAGAATTGTTTGCAGCGAGATGGAACCAGTGATGTTTGCGTGCTCTGCCTGGTGCATATCGACATGCCTTAGGCATGTGCGTCAACCATAATCTAGACTCCAGTGTTTAGACCCTGTCACCTGCGCTCCTTCTGTTGACGGCACTACTTCTGCATGCTGTTGACGCGGCTGCTGCAGTTCTGCTACGGCTCTTGCAGTCTTGGTGGAGCTGATGCTGTTTCTGCGGCTGTTGGTGTTCCTGTTGCTGTTCTTGAGCTCATTCCGCGTGTGGGGCTGTTGCTGGTCGTGGTACATGTACATCTTGAAGCGGTGGTGCTGTGCTTAGTTAAAAATTATTGATACTTAATTAATGTTGACCAAATAGGGCCTCCTTTACCGGCAAACAGAATACAATTGACAATGGCATGGCGAATGATTAGAACACAACACCAAAAAATGAAAACAATTGTATGTGTGAAAAAACGCAAAAAAACGAGAGAAAATTGATACTTTCTTGCGGTGCATCAGTCATTAACGACTGATATTGTGTACGTACCGTAAAACTGTCGTAACTCCATCGATTTATGGTAGAAATGGTGGAGTGAACTGTAATTGCGTATTTTCACGCGTTCAGTGGCACCTCAAAGGGGTTAATGCAGTATGCTCTAGTGGGGCTTCCAGAAACTGATATACTTCTCTGGTGTAGCGGCTGATCTACAAGGCGAGCGAGCACGGAGTGAGGAGTGATAAGTATGGCAAAAGGAAATTTATTTACTGACACATTCAATGACGACACACTTACAATGACATCACCCCCTCCCCCCCCCCCCCCCCCCCACACACACACACGTCTTTTTCTATTACTTGGCTATGTTTCCGTTGGCGTTAGGGTTCACAGCTCTGTGTTTCCCATTTCTTAATTTCATGGTAAACACACTTTGCCTGGTTATATACATGTATTCTCAGCTTTGAAAGATGATCATTCATCTACAGGTGCACTATGGTGAGTTTATAGGCACTGGCTTGCTGGTCTGTGATCTACCATTTGGGGTGTATGAAATCTGACAGCTCTCCCCTCCCCCTCACTGCCCCTTCCTGCACGCCTATGACGGTTACCCAGTTCCTGGCCAGACAGAGGGCGTGAATTTTATCACTTGGACACATACAAGTACAATAATTATTATACAGTAAAACCTGTAAATAAAGACCACCGTGACTAGCGACCAGCCTGGTACTACCGACCACTTCACTAGGCACGGACGGTCTCACATTCAAAATGCACTGTGACTAGCGACTACCTGCTGAACGCGACCAGCGACCGCCTTTTCTTGTGCCAAAGACAACTTTGGACCCGTAACTAGCGACCGCGATGTAGGAAATCAAATGCTGCTCGAAGCTCCTTCTTGAAATTTTGCTGATTTTCCCAAGGTCCTGAAAGGAATCTTTCGATACTACAGCTGAACAAATGAACGCAGGTCATTTTGACTGTGCAGTCGGTGTGGACTGCGCTGCACCTGTCAAAGTTTCAAGCCCTGTGAAGAATAAACATGATAGGAAACGTCTTGGAGAGTGTATTGTACTTGTATATAGCACTTGGCGCCGTCCCATGCTCCTCCTATAGGTGTTTCCTCCCTACATCTTACATTGTAATCGTACCTCTTTTTTTGGCAAAGGACAGGACCGTAAACCACGCTTCATGCTTCTACACCTATTCAGCATGATTATTTAGCCTAATCTGTGGTGCTTGAGCTTAGTTTGTGACTCTCCCGAGACCAAATTGCATGAGAGCGACTGACATTACGTCATTTGCTGCCATTATGACATGAAGCAGGGTGGAGAAGAGTTCTTAGGTGAGAAAATATGCGGAGCCTGAGATGCCTACTTCGTATGGAAGTGCATGCATAAACGTTGCGTGTTGTGTTTCTTACTGATCCTAGTACATGCGCAGATTCATGCCGCGAACCTGTCCCAGCAATGCCATGCATTCGATCGCGGCATGCGCAGATATATGGGATGTGCGTGGGCATCCTCACGAACTAAACGCTTCATCTTGGCAATGCCACAGAGCGATGTGTCAGTACAGGAGAAGGTAATTTCCCCCGTTTCCCGCAGATATCATGTTTCTAGTCAGCTTTGTAATCTACAGAGATGAATAAAAGATCAGAGCATCTTCTTTTCTTTGTCATTTCGTCCTTCTTGTTCTAGAGGTAGGTTAGACATTCTGTGCCCAGTTATAGGCAGGGATAGCAAAGTGCATGGATATATTACTAGGGAAAATATTCTACACGGAAAGTTTACCAGTTATCATTTCTCCAGAGATACACGTAGACCAGGACTACAAGAAAGAGAGCGTCGAGCAGAACAAGCAAAAGCCTCGCGCGCCGGCTGAGCCGCTCAGGTAAGGCACGGGATATAGGAAGTTCAATCATTGGTGTATGTCGTCCATGTCTGCTAACGCGGTGGAGCGCAAGCAGCTCCTGCCATGCCATCGATATTCAAGTGCGGCTGGCCATTAGAGGAATAGAGCGAACCAGAGCGAACCGCAGACAATGGAGCAATGCGCAACATCACACCACCAAGAGAGTATTACATTACGGGGTATTGCCTTCCCCATGTACTCAGAGTAGACGGCAATTACTGAGAACGAAACGAGTTGTTAGTACCTCGTAAGTCGGGAGCTCATTCAATCCGGAATTGAAGGGGATAGAAAACTTGTTCGCGAATAGGGCATTCAACAAAGGGCAGTTTTCCAGGATTCACGGCATCTAACTGCTCGTTCCTATCTATGTACTCTGAATTACTCAATACATGTACAACCCGATGAAGAGAGCTATGTGCCGCATCTTCATTGAGCGCACCAGAGTAGAATGCGATAACTGAGCGTTTGTCAAGTGACTCCATGTCTGCTTTCTTGTTTCCCATTGTCTATGCTACTCAGAGTCGAGCGGCACCGCATTCGCATGGACGAAGCTATGGGCGACAGGCGTTGCAAACGACAGAGCCAGTGGAGCAGGAGACAGAATGATTGGAGCGGACCTGGAAGCGGAGGCGGTGGAAGTGCGTGCCTACGACAGGGAACTGCTATACTGGTAATACATGTACATATTCTGAATTCGCTTCGTGCTGAGCACTCGCTCTTTGTGGCTCGAGGCGATTCTATCGTTGTACACATGATAGTGTCTTTGTAGAACTCAAGGCCTTTCTTTCCATGACGCTGCTCATGCTCAGCACATGCTCGAAACGCAATTCGACAATGGCATTCAATACGAGTCTACTATCTCACCAGTACTGAACACACTCGCTGAAGAGTAGCCCTTTCTAAAGATACTCGCCACCTTTTTCGCAACTTTTTTGTCGTTTCGGAAGAAATCGCAACATTCGCAACCTTCTTCATTTTCACAAACATTTTGCTTCGGAACTTTCCCGCAACCATGAGCAGAATAGCGCCCTGGAGGAGACCATTGATGTGTCCGTGATTCTACGCTTCGATAAAAAGTGCCAAAACCTTTGCATCAAAAATAGTCAGACAAGTGTAGTTCTCGTACCTGTGCTTATGTGGCAGTACTGAGCAATGCCGCTATGTCATGAATATGTGTACAACAAAAAGGACGATGACGCATTCCGAGTCTGTTCATTTTCCTATACAGTCGTGTAGCTAACATGTTTTACTCTGTGAACATACAAACATCGCTTTTTGAAGCGCTGTTATCCATGCCCTTTTGCTTTTCGAATCTCTCATTTTCCCTTTTCGAGTGATACAAAAAAAAGGTTTCGATGTTTGTATGTTTGCGAAATGGCTTGCAAGAGAATTTTGAACGGTCTCTTCTTGACAAACAAAGACTCCTGGCACAGTGTGGAGAATGATTGGCGGTAGGGCCATGCCTAGTCAGGGTCTAATTTCAGTTTTCTTTGACGTTTTTCATTCCCACCACACACAAACTATTCAAAATTTGCTCTACTACTGTGCATGTTGTTGCATCTCGTTCTGCGTCGGAAGATGACTTGGAGCTGGAAGACATCCTCGTTTTGGTGTGCGTATTTTCTCCTTGTATATTGAACTGCCCCTGAGCAGGCGTGGGCCGCAGCAGCATCACTGGTCATGCTCGGCATTGTTACTCCCAGTACTGCCACCATACACCTGGCCAATCTAACCCTACCAGCAGGCCACTCCGTAAAAGCCTTGGTCCACGTGCCAAAGGATCGCTACGGCTATACGTTTCTGGATTGCAAGCCATGTGATGTCGGCTTCGAGTACGATACGCCATGCAATGGCTCGCAGCAGCAGACGTGCAAGCCGTGCGATCCAGGATTCGTGCAGGAGTTTGTCACGGTCAACGTGAAATGCGTGCCTTGCCGACAGGCACTGCCTCCTATTGGTGGGTGCCCAAAGGTGAGTGTTGAAGCCCAGACTAGACCTGGGAACTAGTAGATACCTCATTCGCATTGATTTCTTCTGGAATCTGAAGCTACAGCAGCGCATAGTCTGTACATGTCAGGTGAGTAAGAAGGTGTGCCCCATTGGTACGGCAATGTCCTGCAACCCTCGTCCGATAAAAGCCGGTTTGGAAATCTGGGCCGAAAAAAGCACATTATTTTATTCCGTACAGATTACAAGGCGAAATTATTGGTGCCTGCTGAGTACAAGTAGTATGTGTAGGGCGGGTACCCCTTTCACCACCTCCATCACCCGAAAAATCATTTTTTACGCAAAACAGGGTGCCCGGTTTTTTTAACCCCATAAATACTACTACTACTACTACTAAAAAAATGTGGTACGATCAATAATACCCCTTTTTTCGGGCTGGGGCATGTGCCTACTCCAGAACCCGCCCCCGACACATACTACTCTGCACTGGTTCCGACACCCCTGCGTGCACCTGTGCAGGCTACTCGATCAGGACCTTTTGCAATAATGCTGCATGCAATAGATCCATGTCTTGCACTAGCAGCAGGTGAACATAAGACAAAATTCCCAAGATGGCCCTTGTCTTCCAAGACCGCCTCTTTAAATGTTATCACATGCTTCTCCTTTCTGCCGATTGTAAAGCCTTGACCTCACTAGTAACAATGGTCTCTGCCTTCTTTCAATTGAACACAATGCTCTTTCTGTTTCCTTTTGTCATGTCCTCCCATCCCAGGATCACAAGTGGTGGAACTGCACTGGGACACGCCAGGCCCAATGTATACACACACTATGTGACGATGGATTGTAAGTCTGGTTATTCTGCTCAGTGACCCATGATGATAATAATTATCATGCAGAAACTATAATAATTTTGGAAAATGAGACTGTCACAACTGGGATAAGAACCAGGGACCCTCGTATATGGCCGGGGATGCTCTACCACTATCATAACTGGTTTGTGGTCTTGTAAATAGTAAAATAAATTGTTGCAGCCACTTAGGCAAGAATTGTTATGATAAGGAAGTTGGTTGCTCCCTGCCCTGGAGCTTGCATTTTCCTGCCTACTTGACTTCACACCTGACTGACTCAAGACTGCCATCCAGAGCATACTGAAGTACGAGAATTCCATCAAAACTTTGATATGGTGGAGCGGCGGGAGATCACCACTCCACAGTTGAGCTTGAGTTAGGGACCGGCGGATTCTGCTCGAAGAGGTTCGCAGATTCTGCTCGAAAAGGCAGTGAAATTTGAGAACCATACAAACCTTATGGCGGGCAATTCCTCGAATTCTGCTCCATTTTTTTAGTGTTGAAACGATCTCACCGGGTACTCATTAGCTCGCTCGCCAGAAACTCGGCTCAATTGTGCGACCAGCTCGTTTGCACTAACGAACACCGTACACCGTACTCCGTACACATGGCAGTACATGTCGACCGCTGACCTCGGGGAGTTGTAAAATATGTTCCGACTCCCTGGTCGATCGAGAGTCCAGTCCCGCGCAACGTGAAAATCACTCGCAGTGACTGTATGCCTGCACGACATTTCAGTTGTTTCAGTTGTCGTTGCAGCTTTGGTGGATTCTACTGACGTCTTGTTCCGCAACTGCTGACCTGTCGCAGGATATGCTTCGGTCACCTCTCCATTCGAGTGAAAGTTACGCTCAGTCGTTTGGAAGTTTCCTCCCGCGATGCAGCGAAGACCGTGGCTACTTGCAATCTTTGCAAAACGGTCTATTTTTACAAAGGCTACTCAACGATGGCGCTGACAAGACATCTCGACACCAAACAGCAGTCCGAAGTGAAGCAGCCGCAATCCCAAATGCCGGCGGTGATTATTTGAACCAGCTGAAAAAATTGAACTTAGAAAAAAATGTGTTCACAAAATCATATTTGCCACATCAGTGAAACTCGTTAGCTCGCTTGATAGCTTGCTCATTAGTGGAACTGATCGCTCGTTTGTTGCAGATACGCTCATTTCAACACTAATTATTTTTTTATCCACATACCAAACATGACATGAAACTTACCAGAAAAAGTACCAAATTCTGCCAATTTTTCTGCCGGCAGAATCCGCCAGACCCTAGCTTGGGCAATGTTCATATTCTGCAGCTACAGGACCTTTGTGGGCACATACCGTCATACGGTTGTATTGTTAGTTGTTCTTTCATTGAATGGTGTGATTTCATCACTCTTTCTTGTGTCCCAGTCTCTGCCATTCTGTATTTTTTAAATCTCCTTTTGTTCCTTCTAACTCTTTCTATGTCTCTCTGTCTACCTGTCTTATTCTATCTCTATCTATCGATCAATCTATCTATCTTTTTCTTTTCTCTCTCCTTCTTCTACCTGTCTCTGACTGACACTCTCTCACCCTGCCTGCTTTATTCCACTTGATTCCCCACCTCCATATCCTTGCCATCCCATCTACAGCTACGCACCTAATGATACGTCCCTCCAGGGATTCCATAAGTCGATCTGTACCAAGTGCAGCGCTCCGTGCCAAGCCAGGGGTCTTTACCAGGTTGGGGACTGCATTTACGAAGACTATAAATGCTCATACTTCCCGGTGCAAAATCTGGCAAGGACTTCAGAGCCAGGTAGGTAACTGCATCACTATGGGTTTCACTTCGGATAAATGTGCTATAAACTACCGGCCCTTTGCCAGCCCTAGACAGGCGCGTAACCCGCATGGGGAAAGGGGGGAGGTGGGTGGGGAGGAGGGAGATGCGGAAAACTCGAGTCTGATGCGAACCGTGAAATGTGTTGAAAGAATACGTCGGTTATCCGGACCCGAAGTTAGGGGCACTTCTGTCTACCTTGCACCCTTTTGGCAAGTTCCAGTGGACGTGACACTACTCTTTTGTCACTTTTATGGGACTAATGGCATCATAATATCTATGGCCTTTCCCATCAAAATGTATGTGTGGTTCAGAGTTACGGGTTGCACCCGTTCCAGGGTATTGCATTTTGACCATAAATGGTACCATTTTTTTTTGCTAGTTTCGATTAACCATTCGCTGCATCTGATGTTTTCTCAGGACGTTCTTCATATCCTTCAGCCAGCGTCACTTCACATGCAAGTCCATCAGTGCCGCCGGTTACTACGACAACAAGCGAAGAAGGTAATTTCACAACTCTGTATGTTGTTGGATGTGCATGTACAAATGTTATATCTTGTAAGACTCGGATGGAGAGCCAAGGATCAAATTTAAAATTAAAAATTAAAATTTCACGGTTCGCGTGAGACTCGGCTGGAAGCCGGGCTTTCCGCATCCGTAGGAACGCCACCAACCTTCAAGGATCATGCCGCAGATGCAGCTCCTAAAGCGGTGGGAGGTGAGTAGATCAGCTCATCAGCAAGTGGTCAAAGACCGAAAATCCCATTCTCTGCATCCATGTTTTCCTCGAGCCAGGCCTTGAGTTCCCAATTAACTGTGGGTCGCAGCACGGCTGGAAAAGATCCTTCCGCTTCCAAGCAGGACTTGAACCTGGCACCCTCTGTTTCTCAATCATGATCTTAGACCATCCCACTATGCCTGCCTGCAAATTTAGAAGAAAGGACCAAAAAGAAAAGAAATGACCAACATGTTACATGTTATGCGTAGAATCTGTTGAATGTCAGTATCACATCAGTCAGTGTTGTATTAGCTATTGTACCTTCTGACTACACAACATCTTGCTTATAACTGTTAAGCGCGATTCACAGAAGCTTTTTTGCGATGCGACACGCAATACGACAGCCGCGAAGCTGGGAAATCCCCAAATCGCAGCCGCCTCACAACTGCTGCAACTGGGCCATCGCAGAAGTTGAGCTTGGCTCAACTTTCGCGATGTGACAAGCGATTTGGCGTACGATTTTGACCTTTTCTACAGCAAAGTTGTACAAAGGTTCAAGAGTTGCCTATTAATTTGTACCAAACGAAGTGAATACCGTGGTGACATACCCACCTGCATTGAACTTCGCGCCAAATTAGCAAGGCGTTGTCGCATCGCTGACTTCTTCTGGAATGGTATTTCGCGAGTTCGCATCGCACACGTTCGTCGCAGATCACGTCGCATCGCGTGTCGCATCGCAAAAAAAGCTTCTGAGAATCCCGCTTAAGTGTTGGACACCAACTATGGTTAACAAGTAACATTTTGGTCCTGTCTTTTAAATTTGTATCTTGAAATTTTTTCTACGAATGGCCAGGTTTCTCAGTTCAATTTTGTGTCACCTGTGTTGCCGCCTGCAGTTGTATCTACTAACGCTACCATGTCCACTCCACCTCAACCGCCCTGTACTCCTCTTCACGGTTGGACTAAAGGTAAAACATGCAGGCGCCGGTAAAACGGGTGAAATCTGGACCTTTTTCCTCATTACATTTGGGCGATGTAGTGCTGTATCACCTTGTACTCCAGCGGTTGTACATCGCGTGCTGTCAGGCAGCATTGTGGCACACACAACACATGTAACATACACTTGGGAATATCCTATGCTAGTGCATAGGATATTCCCAAGTGTATGTTAGAGACATGCATTCCACAAAGTACTTGGATTGACACAGAAAATCCCTACATGTTGACGTGCGACACAAATATGTATGTTAACAGGTGGGCCGGGTTGGAAGGCAGGATTTGATAATCCAGCACCCTTGTTTATCCAGCAGAAAATGCCATTGCAAAAGGTGCCGGATTAGAGAGGGACGACTGTACTTGACTCACGCGATCGGATTCCAGTGATCAGAACCGTGCACTTATCAAACATGAATGTATATGACTTGTTGTTGATGTGAAGACACACTGACTTTAACATAATTATATGTTTCTTGTCTATGGTCTCTGTGTTGTCTTAATTTAGAAAATTCCGCAAGCAGCTCTTCTGAACATGTGCCATCTGAAGCTGCCGTTAACAACGAGCACTCCTGGACACCAACCGAGAAAGCGCTAACTGCTGTTTGCTGCACCATGGCCACAGTGATTGTGGGTCTCGTTATTTTTATTATCGCACAGTGGCGGACGAACAAGAAGAAGAAGGATGGTAAGTGGACTGTGATTGTGTTGTGATTATAATTATAGGGCTTAAGGTGCTGCAGTGCCACTGGAACAGAGAATCATTATATGTGACCGGTCTAGTCTATTGGAGTGAGATCCGTCTTTGATGTATTATTGAAAAATGGATGAAATATGTGCTTGAGCAGCCAAATGCAGTACGGGACTTTTTCGTGCACACTTGTTACATAAGAATAGCAAGCCGAGACTTTTGATTGACGCTATATGCCGGCGCTCTGGGTTAACTTACATGCTTGAATTATATAATCACACATGATACGGGAGGGGGGGGGGGATGATGGCTGATTTATGTCCTAGTGCGTAGCTCGAGGTAAAGCACCATATCCCAAGGGCCGTGGTCCCGCAGGTTATGGTGTGTGAGTGCATGTAGTGTCCTTAGCAATGATCCCATGTGGTCTTTGTGTGCTGGGGTACTGCCACGTTACCGAGGCACTGCCCTGCAGGCATGCTCTGGTACAAAACTGGCACCAGCGCACGCAGTATGCCTGGGGTCATTCCTAATGAGCAGGGGAGCTGTACCCGGGCATTATAGACTGATAATGCCCGAGTACGGTGCTACTGCGATCGGCCAAATACTAGCATCGACCTGACAACATGCACATGACATATTTGAGCTCAAAATAATGGCCTGGAGGGGGGGGGGGGGGTAGTGGGATTCAGTCCTATACCTGACAACATGTAGGAAAATCCATTTAGAACAGAGTGTTTCCCATTGACTTTGGTTCTCCATTCTCCTGCAGGAAGGCAAACAGGACAAGCTGACGAACTCGAAGGAACTGTGCCCAGTGCGCAGTCAGTGTCGCAGTCAATGTTCCGAGAAACCCTGGAAGCGGGCAATATCCAGGAACTCGGAGCTCAGTACCAGGAAGGTACAACAGCACAAGAGGATTTCCCACGGGAAGAGACCCAGGCAGCTGGTGATCTGCCAGGTCCAGCCATTAATCGAAGAACAAACACCAGGATGAATACGGGCGTCCCATCACAGCCTCACCACCCTAGCTCTGCAAGGGTGGTGGTACCTGTGTACGAGAGCGACATACCTACCTCGTCTGGTGAGATGACGACTGACAGTGAAGCAGACCGTGCAAGTGAAACACCGGACGACGACCCTCTGCCTCGGGATAGCCCTGTGCCGGGGCTCCGGTCATACCAGGGAGATGCCCAGGGAGCCACAACTCTAACCGGTGCTAGGACCGCGCCACAAAATGTTCCAATCCAGAATACAGCTGTATAGAGCGCTGCTGTGCCCAAAGTTAGGGCAACTTAACATTCATTTCATTAGGCAATACTGTACGGAATATTCTAGCACAGATTTATCTTGGTGTGATGATGTCATGTGTTACCCAGGCAGACCCCACTGAATAGTTTTTCATCGGGTACAATTTACTCAATCATAGGGTTTAACCAGTATAACCAATAGTCATGGGCAATAGTATTGGTAATGATTGTTACCAAAATATTTTTTATTTGAATCGCAATGAAGAGACCATTTTTTTTAAAGTTTGGAGTAGCGATGTGACGTTTTCTAAATGTGTAAGTGGCTGCGTTGGAGTTGGCAGACAATTAGAAAAAAATGTTATCAAAAGAATCACAAGAAATCCACAATCTACGCACAGCGGCTCATTTTGATAGCACAATTTATCTTAAGGATCTGTCAGTGACTACTTCGGATAGATGTAGTCAAACAGTACATGTTACATGTTCTCAAATGAAATGAATGGTGGTTATGGGCAATGTGTGATGCACATACATGTAGGCCCTTGGAGTGAGGCTTGGGGTGAGTAGGGATACTGAAATGACAACCAGTGAATACTCTCAACTAGGAAGAAATCCTATACTGCAGCAAATGCATGTTATCTAAGCAGGCAAGGTGTGCAGCAATGGGACGGCGCGAGGGGGGGGGGGGGAGGGTTACAGTGGCCACTGGACAGGTGCGTCTATCAGGCTAAACACAAAATTAATAATATATACAGTATGTTTATGTGCTGGTTCAAGGCAATACAAAAAAACCGCTAGAAAACTATATACAAAACTAAACTTTCCGGTAACAGTTACCGGTATGGGTCAACGCCTTGACAGACAGCGATGGTTGTTACCTTAGGCCCTGGATCGACAACAGCTGAGTATAAGAAGAGAACAAGAATGCGTAAAAGACAAGTATACCAGTTAGTTGTCTGCCGGCATGCTCTAAATGCACATGTTAGTCCTATACAGTGCTTTCGGGTCCATGATCAATATTTATTCTCCCTTGACTGACTCGCGACTCCCATCCGGAGCACACGAGAAGTCCATCAAACCGCCAACTCGACAAATCTACAAAAAACCCATGTAGGGAGCAACACACTCTTCCCCTGCTATCGCCAAAGTCGCACCAACCTCTTCTTCACACGATCAATTTAGACGTGTAAATTCATGTACAAAAGAACGAGCAGTTGCTGTTTCGTGACTCTGAGTTTCACGAACTCAATCGATGATCAGATGAAAATTTACACTGACGTGCCCTGAGAGTACTGCTACATACTATGTAATTTTCATAATCAGGAAATTCGCATTGCAGCTAGACTCTTGGACGACTGGGTTTCAACCAAATCCGACCCCTAAGTCATGCAGCCATGTCTGTAAAGGTCCATCCTACTAATGTGGTTAGGTATGCACCATGATGCTCAAAGTGTGCCTGGAAAAGAGGTCAGATTTTGAATGGAGGGTAGTATGCCTTCACCCATCCGTGTACGCACAAACATATGAAACTTCTCCAGGCGAGCAGCCTATATGTGAGCCTGTTTTCTCAAACACTTCTGGAGGTACAGGAGGAATACATTCCTGAATTTCGCGGACATTCTCATTACCTTCTCTTGTTGGATGCTTCTGAGAGTAGATGGCGAGGACAAGGATGAATACTATGATGATGAGCAATGCTCCTCCGCCACCCGATAGCCCACCAATGAGTCCTGCAGACAATCCCAAACTATCCGGGTCGGCTGGCGACTCTGCAGGAAAAAGCAGATGGAGATCAATTATAAATGCTCAGAGTTCACTTCGATACTAGTAATGGTCTTGCATGAGTATCCAGATCAAGATACTACAGTAAAACTTGGTTTACGCGACCACCCCACGGTGCCAGCAAAAGCGGTCGTTATGGCCAGGTGGTCTTTAAAACCAGGTTCCGCAGTCTCTGCGCAAAACTGTCGGTGCATGGGAAAACGGCAGGTGGCCGCTAAACCCAGAGGTCGCTTACACCAGGTTTTACTGTACCGGTGTTAAAGTATATTTTGACTGGAGAACACCGAAGTGGTGTGGTGGCACAGAAGTCAATTTAGATTAATTTTCAACATTAATGTAATAAATGTGAAGTGCTGTCTTCATCCTAAACGAAAATAACGGCATCTAGTACTTTCCTGAATGCATATGCGTTCAACAATGATGTGATGAGATAGAGGTCAGTACTCCAATGCAAGTGTAAGAATTACGGTAGCATGTCAACATTCCATACTACAGTCTTCAAAAGACAACCACTGAACACATGTGCCCCTGCGTTTACAAGGCAATTGTGTCTACTTGCAAGTAGAGGAAACGTCGGTGTTTAGAGGCGTTCCAGTTAGCACGCCAATGGAACATGAACTCAGCGACAAAACAAACACATTCTAGTGGGGACAAGCAAACAGGATTCGCACTGACATGATGTTTTCAGGCTGTACATGTTTATGGATGGTGCAACGTAGTAAACGTGACTGCTCGGGACAAATTAACGATTTGTGTACTGAACGAAACATTTGAAAGCCCGCATTTCAGTTCGCGCACGCATCTCGGTTTGCGAATCGAAAAGTGTACGCAAGCTCGTTAAAGAAACGTTTCCTTGCTAATTCTTCGCATTCTCTCCACAGCCCTGTCAAAGCCTCTGCGTTACGAATCGCTACTGCCTCAAAACTTAGAATATTCTATTCTTTTGTTCCTTTCAAAGATTCCTGAATCTTAGAAAGACACACATCGAGGAACCCACAGCATACAGCATGTGCGATTTCAAATCATTACCAGTTTTGGGGGTTAAAGCGAAGTTTTTCGTGACAAAGTCGGCCGTTGTAGGCACTGAAGCTGACGGGCTTGATATCTGGTGGCAAACGTGCGAACACACACACATGTAAGTGCATGTCCACAGATGTATAGGCAAAGAGACAGACAGATAGAAATACGGAGACAGACACGCACACGTATGCACCAATATACATGCACACACACACACACACGCACGCAGGCACGCACCCACACACACACACACACACACACACACACACACACACACACACACACACACTTGTACTTGTTGCTCACTGCCAAACCTGGTCATGTGGGTTTCCCCAGGAGAGGGGAGAGACTCAAAAGGAATCTTGGAAAGATGGCTCAATTGGCTATTGAACCGCCCAACGGCCGACTACCCCTGAAATCCCCAAAACTGTGGGTGGAGTTGAAAATGATCCCACTTATGGGCCCACCACACCTCAGTAAATGGGTGAGGACAAGGTGCAGAACACACACACAAACATAAACCCACATTGTGACCTACAGCGCATACCAAATCATGAATCAAGTTGACTATTCCACATCGGAGACCAAAACGATGGGAACAAAAAATCTCGATATTCAACATTTCCTCGGATGGTGAAAGAATCTATGGCTATTGAACTGGCCTAGACCACAGATGTACCAGAACAATAGGAAACCAACCTGCTGTGGCTCTACATCAGGAGACCAGAGCGGAATGAACGGCTTCTTCGCACAGTAGCGATTACTCTTGTCCGTGCAGCGCGTGGTCTCTATCTGATCCGCGCTGCATGAATCAGTACAACCTATGCACGCCGACAGGAGTTGATTTATATACCTGGGACGAATACGGATACAAGGAGGACAGGAAAGAATTTAAAAACCATCTCCGATGGATTATCTACACGTACGTCGGTAAAGTGGTACTGCCGTTGCCCTGACTGCATGCGGTGCACACACTTGGGCATATGCACTCAGCCTGTGCAACCGGCAGAGCTGTTTTCTACTGACCCCGTGAGTAAAAAAGACCACGACATGCCTCCTGGCGTATGCCAACACCGTTGCTGTGGGCAGCCGGGAGGGTGGGGGGGGGGGGGGGGTGGTGCACTGCTGAGATTAAGTGATCATTCAGCCGCTGACGAAATTTCGACAAGATTCTTTTGAACGGTTGGCCCACCAAGAAAGAAAGGCAACGCCGAGGTAGTGTACCGTGATAAGATAAGAGGGGAAAAGGTCACAAGGCAATACAAAGCCAGGGAGATGATCTTCAAACTCAGACAGTGACTGTCAAGTGTGTTAATCTCTCTTCAAATGCGGTAGGGCAAGCTGCAGATGCAGGCATGCTAATAATATAACACCCAGTCCAATTTTCCGTCCACATGCAATATCAAGCCGACTTCATTCACCACACCAGCAAGATTAACTGTTACTGCACTACATTATAGGAATTGGCATAAATACCTCCTGGTGCAGCTGTTCCCAGCATTCGAATCCCATCAGTAAAGGATAAAGTAAGACTACTGAGTGGCTAGAAGCTGTGAATAATGCTGTCTTCTATAGAGGTAAAACAAGTGTTTGATGACAGAGCCATCGGCCAATATTAATTTTTAAAATTTCATTACATTCCGGAATGACAGGAAGAACACACAGCCGGGGAGGTTGCGGTGCATGGCAAGATAAACTGGATGGAAACAGAAACACACACAGATGCATACATACATTTGAAAGTGGTAAATTATCCGTATGGGTTCCTGGGTGCCCGGAACCTCCCTTTTTTCGCCCAAAATGCAGGATTTTGCTTAATTTTTGGAAATTTTTCCCGCGGGAGGCCCCCGGAACCCTCCCTTGAAGTGCACCGGCGCACACGCCTGCCATGGCTCTTCGTATCCTGTCAAATCATATCAGGACTGTTTCCGCTGCATCAAGGTTAGGAAAGGTTTCACTGTCCACTGGCGCGTAGCTTGCATGGGGCACTGGGGGCATGTGCACCACTAAACCACGCCTGAAAAATGTGGACCCACATGATGTAGACTCAGTGTGCACGTAATGACCATGAATGGCATGCACCCGCCATCCTAAACATATGCGGCTGTGCGTCCCCTCCCCCCCCCCCCCCCCCAGAAAGGGGTACATACATGTACATGTATTATAAAAGCAATGATTTTGATTTATTTCTTACGCCGCAGGGTTATAATTATTGATCGTCCAGTTTCCGTGCGACTGCCCTAAATGCTTACCTCATGCGGTTCGCACTTCAAACTCTCGCTGTGGCACGGCTGGCATTTGCTCGTGGCATCGGCTACGGCAGAGTAATTGTGTCCGTCGACACATGGTTGACATACAAAGTAAGTCGCGTTGACTTGAAACCACTTGCCGTAGCCTTGAGGGCACAATAGTGTGCCTGATGGAGTCGCCGTCGTAGCAGGCCCTTGGGTAGTGGGCGCAGAGTTGCCGCTGATCACGAAGTAATGTAGCTGCGGAAAACGTGCAACGCAGTAGCCGAATGAAACAAAATGTCAAAAAATGACTGAAACTAACTGGTAATAATTATGCCCTAGAGAACATTGTTTTCCCTGCACACACGCTTGGATATAGGGGCTGTGAACGAAAGATGCATGTCCTTGTCCCATGGCCCGGGTTCTTGCAAGTAATCAGTTACTAGTAGATGCAGAGTTCAGTGAGTGAAGTCAGGGAGTAAATATTTGCACGAGTTGAGATCGTGGCGTGTCCTGGACGTGCGCAATCAACCACCGTAAAAAGTGTTGCTCACAAAAGGGATTGCGGGCACAAAAATAAACATATTTACCGACTTCCATACTCCAAACTCCCTATGATGATGCATAGTCTATATATAGTATAGAGGAGTGGTATGGTTGTGGGGCTGAGAACACTGACTTAGTCCAAGTGAGGTCTCGACCGCAATGTTCATCGCATAAGGGTATGTATGCCCAGTGCACCAAATAAAGGTAAACAAGAGAAGAGAGAGAGCATAACGCCAAAATAACGTTCTTACCAGCACGAGGAGAACTACCTTGCTGTTGAGCTGAACACATAAGCGAGAGCAACAAGTAATTTTACTGTTCACGTGAGAGAAAACCAAAATGACCTCCGCATATCCGTAGGATCATGACGCAGAAACAGAATAGAAGGAGGATGCAGGATGACGGTATATACACTGTACAGTGCTGGCAACTGAAATCCGACCCCCTGAGCGGTGCGCTCACATCGCAAAGAATGTGAACCCACCGCTCAGGGGGTCGGATTTCAGTTCCCAGCACTGTACTTTCGCCAAAATAATCGCACCTCTTATGGTACCCGCAAACGCGCACAGCGCACAACGCTTCTACACCACGTTTCGTCATTATCGCTGGGACTACTCGCTGCTGTATGTGCATTTCGCGTGCTGTAAATTAGGCATCAATGTACACTCATTGTAATTACAGAAATGTCTTCATCAGGAATGAAAAGATGCTACGGACTTGAATTGCATGCAAAGTATTGACCCCTTATTAGATGCCCTCCACAGCTTAGTGACTTCGTTTCACAGTGTGAACAACAGTTATGAGATCTGATGGGAGCAGGTCAGCTCTGCAGTACAGGATTTCCAGCCGCGTGTATACTTACCACTGGCTCGGTGACGCTTGCATGCCCTTGCATTGCAGCTATGTGTGCATCAGCGAACAGCCACACAGCCGCGCTTCCTCTCTGGTAACTGTACGTAGGCTTCAAAATTGAACAGTCGTGAAACTTCATACGCCCACGTCATTCATTGCACTACTGCGTACTGGTCGAAGCGAAGTGATTCAATTGTTGGTCATGCCGAGCACAGAAACAGACATTTACAGGAAACGACGTGCGTAGATCATGCTTTAGATATCGGAACAGTTCGGCTCCTGAAGAGAATAACGTAGGAGTGACTAGCTGTGGCATTATCCACGTACAATGTAAGTTTATTTCATTTTCCGAAATCCTGTCTCACATGAGCGCCGAGAAGCCATGCACTGTATTACAATGACGCATGGATTTGACAGTCGCCAGCACCTCGCAGGTACGTGTACGAGTAGAGTCTACATGTACGTAGGCTAAGATTAGTTGCCGTCGAACTACGGTGCGTCGAAGCCTTTCACGCTTCAGTCCGACCCCAACGTGCAGCAGGCGTCTCGGTATGAACGGAGCTAGAGCGCGTCACGTCACGCCACGCCTGATGATGTAATCGTAGATGACGTGGATGGTGTGGGATAATGTCGGAATTTTCCCCTGGCCTTGGAATTGCGGTTAATGCAAGTTTGAAACGTGTTTTGGGGGATCCCCCTGTTCGACGGGGAGGTACTAGTAGTCCGCGGCACGATTCAACCTCGTGGGTTGATGTACAATGACATCATAATAATATAATTATTTAGCTTCCAATCTCTCTCTCTCTCTGCGTCTCTCTCTCTCTCCCTCTCTCTCTCCCTCTCTCTCTCTCTCTCTCTCTCTCTCTCTCTCTCTCTCTCTCTCTCTCTCTCTCTCTCTCTCTCTC